CCTCTCTTCTGTCTCCTCTCTTCTGGTCTCCTCTCTTCTGTTCTCCTCTCTTCTGTTCTCCTCTCTTCTGTTCTCCTCTCTTCTGTCTCCTCTCTTCTGTCTCCTCTCTTCTGTTCTCCTCTCTTCTGTCTCCATTCTTCTGTTCTCCTCTCTTCTGTCTCCATTCTTCTGTTCTCCTCTCTTCTGTCTCCTCTCTTCTGTCTCCTCTCTCTCTGGTCTCCTCTCTTCTGTTCTCTTCTCTCTGTTCTGCTCTCTCCGCTCTCCTCTCTTCTGTTCTCCTCTCTCCGTTCTCCTCTCATCTGTCTCCATTCTTCTGTCTCCTCTCTTCTGTTCTCCTCTCTTCTGTTCTCCTCTCTTCTGTCTCCTCTCTGTTCTCTCTCTGTTCTGCTGTCTCCATTCTCCTCTCTTCTGGTCTCCTCTCTCTCTGTTCTCCTCTCTTCTGTCTCCTCTCTTCTCTCTCCCTCCTCCTCTCCTTTTTTTTTTTTCCCTCTCTCTCCTTTCTCCTCTGTTCTCTGTCCTCTCTCCCATCTCTCTTTTCTCATCTCTCCTTTCTTCTTTCATTCTCTTCTCTCTCTTCTCTCTGCTCTCTTCTCTGTCCTCTCTCTCCCTTTTCCTCTCTTTTCTTCTCTGTCCCCTTTCCTCTTTCCCTTCTCCTCTCTGCTCTCTTCTCTCTCTTCTCTCTGCTCTCTTCTCTGTCCTCTCTCTCCCTTTTCCTCTCTTTTCTTCTCTGTCCCCTTTCCTCTTTCCCCTTCTCCTCTCTGCTCTCTTCTCTCTCTCTCTCTTTTCCTCTCTGTCCCCTTTCCTCTTTCCCTTCTCCTCTCTGTTCTCTTCTCTGTCCTCTCTCTCCCGTCTCCTCTTTTCTTTTCTCTCCCTTCTCTTTACTCCTCTCTCCTCACTTCTCTGTCCTTTCTCCTCTCTCCTCTCTGCTCTCGCTTCTCTCCCCCTTCTCTTCTCTCTCCATCTCCTCTCTTTTCTCATTTCTCTTCTCAGTTCTTTTCTCTGTCCTTTCTCTTCTCTTTTCCCTTCTCTTCTCTCCTGTCCTCTCTCCTCTCTTGTCTTCTCTCTTCCCTCTCCTCTCTTGTCTTCTCTCTTCCCTCTCCTCTTTTGTCTTCTCTGTCTTCTCACTCCTTTCCTCTATCCGTTCACCTCTTTTTCTCTTTTCTCTGCGCTCTCCTCTCCTTTCTTCTCTATTCTGTCTTCTCTCTTTTCTCTTCTCTCTGCTCTCCCCTCTCTTTTCTCTCTTCTCTTTCTTTCCTCCAATCAACTTGCTTCTTTGCAGCAGAGCCTTATACTTGTGCTGCCCCTCCCACTTCATTTGGAAGCTGCTGTGCAGGACTTTGCAGGAGGCTGATATGACCAAATCAGGTACATTATCACCTATTTTGTAAAAAAGCATATGTGTGTATATATGTATATATTGGTCAAAAAATTAAATGAATACTTTTTAATCTGAGTCTAGCATCAAGTCGATGAAACTCCTGGGATATTGATCTGGTCAAGTAAGTCGCAGAGGGGGTTGTTCATCGGTTTCAGATGCTTTGGTATTCATGAAATCAACAGGTGCACTAGATGGGCAACAATGAGACGACCCCCAAAACAGGAATGGTTTTACAGGTGGAGGCCACTGACATTTTTTCCCTACTCATCTTTTCTGACTGTTTTTCACTAGTTTTGCATTTGGCCGGGGTCAGTGTCACTACTGGTAGCATGAGGCCATACCTGGACCCTACAGAGGTTACACAGGCAGCCAACTCCTCCAGGATGGCACATCAATACATGCCATTGCCAGAAGGCTTGTTTGTCTCAGCAGTCTAAAGAGCATGGAGGAGATTCCAGGAGACAGGCAGTTCCTCTAGGAGAGCTGGACAGGGCCGTAGAAGGTCCTTAACCCATCAGCAGGACCGGTATCTGCTCCTTTGTGCAAGGAGGAACAGGATGAGCCCTGCCAGAGCCCTACAAAATGACCTCCAGCAGGCCACTGGTGTGAAAGTCTCTGACCAAACAATCAGAAACAGTCTTCATGAGGGGGGCCTGAGGGCCTGACATCCTCTAGTGGGCCCTGTGCTCACTGCCCGGCACCATAGAGCTCGATTGGCATTTGCCATTGAACCCCAGAATTGGCAGGTCTACCACTGGCATCCTGTGCTTTTCACAGATGAGAGCAGGTTCACCCTGAGCACATGTGACATACGTGAAAGGGTCTGTCCCATGGAGGGACGCACAGACCTCTACAGGCTAGACCTTGGCACCCTGACTGCCATTAGGTATCGGGATGAAATTCTTGGACCAATTGTCAGACCCTACGCTGGTGCAGTGTGTCCTGGGTTCCTCCTGGTGCAGTGGGTCCTGGGTTCCGCCTGGTGCAGTGTGTCCTGGGTTCCTCCTGGTGTAGTGTGTCCTGGGTTCCTCCTGGTGCAGTGGGCCCTGGGTTCCTCCTGGTGTAGTGTGTCCTGGGTTCCTGCTGGTGCAGTGGGCCCTGGGTTCCTCCTGGTGTAGTGTGTCCTGGGTTCCTCCTGGTGCAGTGGGCCCTGGGTTCCTCCTGGTGTAGTGTGTCCTGGGTTCCTGCTGGTGCAGTGGGCCCTGGGTTCCTCCTGGTGCAGTGGGTCCTGGGTTCCTCCTGGTGCAGTGGGTCCTGGGTTCCTCCTGGTACAGTGGGCCCTGGGTTCCTCCTGGTGCAGTGGGTCCTGGGTTCCTCCTGGTGCATGACAATGCCCGGCCTCATGTGGTGAGAGTATGCAGGCAGTTCCTGGAGGATGAAGGAATTGATACCATTGAATGGCCCACATGCTTGCCTGACCTAAATCCAATAGAACACTTCTGGGATGTCATGTTTTGGTCTATCCAACGCCTCCAGGTTGCACCTCAGACTGTCCAGGAGCTCAGTGATGTCCTGGTCCAGATCTGGGAGGAAATCCCCCAGGACACCATCCGTGGTCTCATTAGGAGCCCCCCCCCTGATGTTGTCAGGCATGCATGCAAGCACGTGGGGGCCACACAGACTACTGAGGACCATTCTGAGTTGCTGCAATGACATTTCAGCAAAATGGACTCGCCTGATGTATCATTTCTTCACTTTGATTTTCGGGGTGTTTTTGAATTTAGTCCTCTGTTAGTCTATCCTTTTCATTTCCATCCAACGATGGGGCATCCTTACGTTCCTCACCCATCCCCCGTCCATGTCAGTATAGAGATCCAGCAGGAGATTCCTCCCCATTGAGATCTGATGGGTTTTCAAAGTCTTCTTCCTTTCATTTTTTTTGAGCAGTGTATATATATATATATATATATATATATATATATATATATATACTGTGAAGGAAATAAGTATTTGATACTCTGCTGATTTTGAATGTTTGCCCCTCACAAAGAAATGATCGGTCTAAAAATCGAATGTTCGGTGTAACACTGAGAGACAGAATACAACAACAAATTCAGCAGAAATGCGTCTAACAAATAATGACTGATCTGCATGTTCATGAGGGAAAGAAGGATTTGATCCCCTTCACAAAACATGACTTAGTACTTGGTGGCAAATCCCTTGTTGGCAATCACAGAGGTCAGACGTTTCCTGGAGTTGGCCCCCAGGTTTGCACACATCTCAGGAGGGATTTTGGCCCACTCCTCTTGGCATATCTTCTCCAAGTCATTAAGGTTTGGTGGCTGACATTTGGCAACTCGAACTTTCAGCTCCTCCACAGATTTTCAATCGGATGAAGGTCTGGAGACTGGCTAGACCACTCCAGGACCTTAACGTGCTTCTTCTTGAGCCGCTCCTTTGTTGCCTTGGCCGTGTGCTTTGGGTCATTGTCATGCTGGAACACCCTTCTATGACCCATTTTTAATGCCCTGGCTGAGGGAAGAAGGTTCTCACCCAAGATTTGATGGTACATTGCCCCGTCCATCGTCCCTTTGATGCGGTGCAGTTGTCCTGTCCCCTTAGCAGAAAAACGCCCCAAAGCAGAATGTTTCCAGCACCATGTTTCACAGTTGGAATGGTGTTTTTGGGGTCATAGGCAGCATTCCTCCTCCTCCAAACACGGCGAGTTGAGTTGATGCCAAAGAGCTGGATTTTGGTCTCATCTCACGACAACACTTTCAACCAGTCCTCCTCTGCATCATTCAGATGTTCAGTGGCAGACTTCAGATGGGCCTGGACATGTGCTTTCTTGAGCAGAGGGACCTTGCGGGCACTGCAGGATTTCAGTCCATGTCGGCGTAGTGTGTTACCAATTGTTTTCTTGGTGACTGTGGTCCCAGCTGCCTGGAGATCATTGACAAGATCCTCAGGTGTAGTTCTGGGATGATTCCTCACTGTTCTCATGATCATTGACACTCCACGAGGTGAGATCTTGCATGGTGCACCAGACCTAGGGAGACTGACACTTGTTTTGTGTTTCTTCCATTTGTGAATGATTGCACCAACTGTTGTCACCTTCTCACCAAGCTGCTTGGCCATAGTTTGGTAGCCCAGTCCAGCCTTGTGTAGGTCTACCATCTTGTCCCTGACATCCTTGGACAGCTCTATGGTCTTTGCCATGGTGGAGAGTTTGGAATCTGATGGTTTGATTGCTCCTGTGGACAGGTGTCTTTTATACAGGTAACACAATGAGATTAGCAGCACTCCCTTTAAGAGACTGCTTCTAATCTCAGCTTGTTACCTGTATGAAAGACACCTGGTAGCCAGAAATCCTGCTGAATGATAGGGGATCAAATCCTTCTTTCCCTCATGAACATGCAGATCCGTCATCATTTGTTAGACGCATTTCTGCTGAATTTGTTGTTGTATTCTGTCTCTCAGTGTTACACCGAACATTCCATTGTTAGACCGATCATTTCTGTGTGAGGGGGAACATTCCATTGTTAGACCGATCATTTCTGTGTGAGGGGCGAACATTCAGCATCAGCAGGGGAGCAAATACACATTTCCTTCACTGTATATATATGTATATAATTATTTTCCTTAAGAATCCATTATCCAGATTTGTATTAAATCCTCCCTCTGGCTTCCCCTTCAGTCTTGCACAGGTGTACCGGCTCCTCCCCTCCAGTCTTGCACAGGTGTACCGGCTCCTCCCCTCCAGTCTTGCACAGGTGTACCGGCTCCTCCCCTCCAGTCTTGCACAGGTGTACCGGCTCCTCCCCTTCAGTCTTGCACAGGTGTACCGGCTCATCCCCTCCAGTCTTGCACAGGTGTACCGGCTCATCCCCTCCAGTCTTGCACAGGTGTACCGGCTCCTCCCCTCCAGTCTTGCACAGGTGTACCGGCTCCTCCCCTCCAGTCTTGCACAGGTGTACCGGCTCCTCCCCTTCAGTCTTGCACAGGTGTACCGGCTCATCCCCTCCAGTCTTGCACAGGTGTACCGGCTCCTCCCCTCCAGTCTTGCACAGGTGTACCGGCTCCTCCCCTCCAGTTTTGCACAGGTGTACCGGCTCCTCCCCTCCAGTCTTGCACAGGTGTACCAGCTCCTCTCCTGGACTGGAATGGCTTCCTCTGATTTCACTGCACACTGTGAGTTTCTCACAATGTGCAGTAGAAGCTGCCTCAATTCAGAAAGAGCTCTGCCTCATTTCCTGACTGGAGGATGCCCAGGATCATCTTGCACTTTCCTCCTCAGCCTGACTCCCTGATGTACCCCTTTCATTCATTGGATTTCAGTTCTTTCAATTATGGAGGCTCAGCATCGCATGTTGGTGTTAGCTAGGGTGGTCTGCAACCTGCCTAGGAATGTCCTCCAGACTGGCCCCGCCCATCAAGGCATTTTGATATTTGCTTACCTCTTCCCAAGAGCCAGCCCGCTGCTTGCATCAGGGCTTAGGGCTCCTTAGAGGAGGCAGGGTGCTACGATGTTTCAGGAAGCTACTTGTACATTACCCTGATGGCCCCTCCCACCAGCCGTGATCTGCCTGCATTTTATAGCAATACTCAGAGACCCAGTGATGACATCACCAGTATGAAATAAGGTATGTAATTAACATAGGTTTTATTGAAAAATGTAATTAGCATGACAATGATTGGGGGGGGGGGGGTAAGGTATATAATGAAAATGGAATATTTTTAAAGAAAAATTCAATTTGATGGAATTTTTTTTTTTGTTTGTTTTTTTTCTCTGTTGGGTGCACTGGATGGACCTGTGTCTTCTTTTTTTTCAACTAGATTAACTATGAAAACTCCTCCGGATTATGGCTGTTCCAGTCGTAGTAAATTGCCCTCAGTGCCTCCGTTATTCTTTATTTTCCTCCCACAGCTTCCAATGGGCCACACCCTTGTTACCCGGACAGGAAGTCAGTGGAGTCCCTCTTGGACGGAGGACCGTTGGATCGGAAGGGAAGACCCCACGACATCATTTTTATTGAAGATTAAGAAGCCTACCGCGCCCAGAGACAGCCATATAACCACATTTCTAACGTCCTACAAAAAAAACCATCCAATGAACTTCTTTTGAAAAAAAAAAAAAAAAAGGATTTAATTTCCTTGTACATTTTTTGCACTTTCTTATTGAAGACTTGAAGAGTTTGTCTTGTTAAAAAAAGGATTTAAAAAGAAAAAAACTGAAACTCTTATGGAAAGGGGGTGACGATGATATTTAAAAAGTTTCTTTCTTATCCGAGGAAACGGCTTTGTTGTCGAGGAACCAACTTATATGCAGCTTTTTTGACTTTGTTAAATCTTTTTTCTGGTTATTTTGTTGGACAAAGCTGCATGCACTTATTTGGCCCTTCAGATAACATTAGCTGGTCACGGTGTGAAGAAAACAAAACAGAAAAAAAAAATAAAAAAAACATTCCCATACCGCCATCTTCGTGACTGGAATAACGGAGCGATCATTGCCGCTGCCGACCACTACAACATTCTAATACTACAATTTTTGTAGCTGTATTTTGCCAAAAGGTTAAAGCCGCCTGTTTGTGCTTGTTTGTCTGTTCATGTTCTCAATAAACAAACTGCGCCCACCATTGTGAGCTCCGTCTTGTTTTGGAAGATCTCAGCAGTGTAGACATAATACGGCAGGATTAAAAAAAATGTCACTCATGGGAAACCTGTTTGTTGTTGGGACATCGCCTTCATTCGCATCCAACCCGTGGCTCCCTGCGTGGCTCGTTCTGACCGTGGGTGCAAACTAGCTCTCCAGCTCGTCTTTTGTTGCCTGAAATATTGCATATGGTGAAAAATGGCCACCGCTTGTAAAAAAACCAACTATTTATTTATTTCAGGTACTTGTATAGCGCCATCAATTTACGCAGCGCTTTACATATATATATTACATTCACATCAGTCCCCGCCCCCCAGGGGCGTACAATCTAAGGTCCCTAACTCACATTCATACATACAGGTGAAACTCGAAATATCAGAATATCGTGCAAAAGTTCATTTATTTCAGTGCAGCAACTTAAAAAGTGAAACTAAAATATTATTATTATTATTATACAGTATTTATAAAGCGCCAATAGTTCGCTCAGCGCTGTACATTACAGAGGGGGACAGAACATGTGACAGAACAATACCAATACAATGCAAAACATGAGGGGATCGAGGGCCCTCTTTGGAGCTTACAATCTAGGAGGGAGGGGATGGTGGCACAGGAGGAGATAGCTGTGGGGGATGGAGTGGTAGGAAGAGTGGAGGAGGTCGGTCAAGTTAGCAGGGGTGGGGTAGGCTTCCCTGAAGAGGTGGGTTTTCAGGGTGAGATAGACTCATTCCATGCAAAGCAAGATAGTTCAAGCCGTGATTTGTCATCATTGTGAAGATTATGGCTTACAGCTCATGAAAACCCCAAATCCACAATCTCAGAAACTGAGAGCATTGTGAAAAGGTGGAATATTCTCGGCTCAAAGTGTCCCACTCTAATCAGTTCATTCAGCCATAACACCTGCAAAGGGTTCCTGAGCCTTTAAATAGTCTCTCAGTCTGGTTCAGTAGGAATCACAATCATGGGAAAGACTGCTGACCTGACACCATCACTGACACCCTCCATAAGGAGGGAAAGCCTCAAAAGGTAATTGCAAAAGAAGTTGGATTTTCCCAAAGTGCTGTATCAAAGCACATTAATAGAAAGTTATGTGGAAGGGAAAAGTGTGGAAGAAAAAGGTGCACAAGCAGCAGGGATGACCGCAGCCTGGAGAGGATTGTCAGGAAAAGGCCATTCAAAAGTGTTGGGGACTTTCACAAGGAGTGGACTGAGGCTGGAGTCAGTGCATCAAGAGCCACCACACACAGACGGATCCTGGACATGGGCTTCAAATGTCGTATTCCTCTTGTCAAGCCGCTCCTGAACAACAAACAACATCAGAAGCGTCTTACCTGGGCTAAAGAAAAACAGACCTGGTCTGCTGCTCAGTGGTCCAAAGTCCTCTTTTCTGACGAGAGCAACTTTTGCATCTCATTTGGAAACCAAGAACCCCGAGTATGGAGGAAGAATGGAGAGGCCCAAGGACCCCGAGTATGGAGGAAGAATGGAGAGGCCCAAGGACCCCGAGTATGGAGGAAGAATGGAGAGGCCCAAGGACCCCGAGTATGGAGGAAGAATGGAGAGGCCCAAGGACCCCGAGTATGGAGGAAGAATGGAGAGGCACAAGGACCCCGAGTATGGAGGAAGAATGGAGAGGCACACACTGCAAGATGATTGAAGTCCAGTGTGAAGTTTCCACACTCTGTGTTGATTTGGGGAGCCATGTCATCTGCTGGTGTTGGTCCTCTGTGCTTCATTAAGTCCAGGGTCACCGCAGCCGTCTACCAGGAGATTTTGGAGCACTTCATGCTTCCTTCCGCAGACGAGCTTTATGGGGATGCTGACTTCATTTTCCAGCAGGACTTGGCTCCGCCCACACTGCCAAAAGCACCAAAATCTGGTTCAATGACCGTGGGATTACTGTGCTTGATTGGCCAGCAAACTCGCCTGACCTGAACCCCATAGAGAATCTATGGGGCATTGCCAAGAGAAAGATGAGAGACATGAGACCGAACAATGCAGAAGAGCTGAAGGCCGCTATTGAAGCATCCTGGTCTTCCATAACACCTCAGCAGTGCCACAGGCTGATAGCTTCCATGCCACGCCGCATTGAGGCAGTAATTGCTGCAAAAGGGGCCCCAACCAAGTACTGAGTACATATGCAGCTTCTACTTTTCAGAGGTGCGAAATTGTTCTATGTACAATCCGTGTTTTATTGATTGCATGGAATATTCTCATTTTCTGAGATTGTGGATTTGGGGTTTTCATGAGCTGTAAGCCATAATCATCACAATGATGACAAATCACGGCTGGAACTATCTTGCTTTGCATGGAATGAGTCTCATATATTAGTGTCACCTTTTAAGTTGCTGCACTGAAATCAATGAATGAATGCACCATATTCTAATTTTTTGAGTTTCACCTGTACTAGGGCCAATTTAGACAGGATCCAATTAACCTACCAGCATGTCTTTGGAGTGTTGGAGGAAACCGGAGTACCCGGAGGAAACCCACACAGGCACAGGAAGAACATGCAAAATCCAGGCAGGTGGTGCCATAGGTGGGATTCAAACCCACAACCTGAGTACTGCCAGGTGGAAGTGCTAACCATTTAGCCACTGTGCTGCCCATGAATTGTTCCAGTGTCCTCAGCATCTTCCTAGGCCTCTTCAACGCGTTTCATTCACAAATGAAATGCATTGAAGGAAGGAAGCTTGAGCTCATTTTGTGGGTAATACATACCTAAGAGCACCTAGACCAGGGGTGGGCACTCTCCATCTGTTGTGGAACTACGTTTCCCATGAGGCGTTTCAAAGACCAGATGTTACAAGCATGCCTCTACAGGTCCCATAAGACATTTCAAAACTGACAGTTACAGCTATGACTTCCAGAGGCATGATGGAACTTGTAGTCCTGCAACAGCTGGAGAGCCGCAGGTTGCCCACCCCTGACCTAGACAGATGATGTGGACCCTGGGGCAATAATATCTTTTTACATGCGGTGGGCAGCTACTGTGGGGTTTCAATGGAAAAAAAAAAAAATATATATATATATGTCCTGTACTGAAAGTAATGCAAAAGTGGGCATAACTCTTTTACTAACTTACATTGGCCGTTCAGATTTCACATGCTGGTAGAGTATCTCATCCTCTATAGCTGCCTTTCTCAGCATCTGCCTAGGTCTCTCCAACGCATTTCACTCACAAACGAAATGCGTTGAAGGAAGGGACCTTGAGCCTATTTGTGGGTAATACATACCTAAGAGCACCTAATACATACCTAAGAACACCTAATACATACCTAAGAACACCTAATACATACCTAAGAGCACCTAATACATACCTAAGAACACCTAATACATACCTAAGAGCACCTAATACATACCTAAGAACACCTAATACATACCTAAGAGCACCTAATACATAACTAAGAGCACCTAATACATACCTAAGAGCACCTAATACATACCTAAGAACACCTAATACATACCTAAGAACACCTAATACATACCTAAGAGCACCTAATACATACCTAAGAGCACCTAATACATACCTAAGAGCACCTAATACATACCTAAGAGCACCTAATACATACCTAAGAACACCTAATACATACCTAAGAGCACCTAATACATACCTAAGAGTACCTAGACAGATGGTGTGGACACTGGGACAATCATATCTTTTTACACGCGGTGGGCAGCTGGTGTGGGGTTTCAATAAATAAAAAAAAAATATGTATTTTTTTTTTATTCAGCTCGGCTGAAAAATAGATGTACAAAAAGGCTGATCTTATAAATAGTAACTAAAACAAACTCCTTCCCCCTGGGTGATCTATGCACATTGCAGGGATTTTAATACACTTTGTAGCCGGTTCC